GGACTTTAATTTGCGGGGGGGGGGGGGGGGGGGGGTCAGAACCGTGAGGTGATGCAGTTAGAAACAAAGCAGCAGAAATTCTGTTTGATCTAGTTTCTGTAAGTAAGCTCCGTGTGTGTGTGTGTGTGTGTGTGTGTGTGTGTGTGTGTGTGTGTGTGTGTGTGTGTTAGAGGTGGGAAAAATGATCGATTCTAAGATGCATCGCGATTCAGCCGTGCATGATTCCGCATCGATGCAGCAACGTGACATAATGAGATAAAGTTTTGAGGTTTTATAATTACTTCTGGGGGCGGAGTTGCAATGACATGTGCACTGCGTTGTCCTAGCGCCAATTTGGAACAGAAAAAGCGGACAGGGAAACAGGGCCAACATTACTAGTAATCAAAGATGTACCCGTTACATTTAAATCGGATGTCTGGGCTAATTTCTGTTTTGGGATCCTGGATGTGAAAGAATCACTTAACACAGTATTTGTTTACTATTTTTAAGTTCAGTAATATATTCTATCTTAAAGCTGCTCTACCGAAAACATTATTTCTTATATTATTTAATTAACTATAGGCAGCACACTTTAAACATTATTGCTCACTATAGTGAATAGATGAATGTTCTGTTTTTCAGGGATTTCGAAATCAAAAAGAAATTGAAAACTATTCAACTGCTTTTATTAAGTAATGAAAATGTTTGTGTGAAGAATCGTGATGCATTTCAGACTCAAATGGAATCGTTAGGCAGATAATCGGAATCGGATCGACTCGTGAGGCAGGTAGAGATGCACACCACTAGTGTGTGTGTGTGTGTGTGTGTGTGTGTACACCTGTATTTATCATCTGGCAAGTAACACCTCAGCGTTTGAGGTTTAGTTTTGCTGTTTTATGGCTCTACAGTTGCTGGTTTTAAAGTTAGAATATCAACACAAAGTTGATTTATCTCAGTAATTCCATTCAAAAAGTGAAACATACAGATTGATAGATTTTAATGTTTACTTCTTCAATTTAGAAGATTTTAACTGACAACTAATGAAAATTCCTGCAAAACACCTGCAAAAGTCTTTAAATGGTCTCTCAGTCTACTTCTGCAGGCTGTACACGATCACGGGGAAGACTGCTGACCTGACAGTTGTCCAGAGCTGAGTTAAGAGCTAGTGATGCACAGACGTATGCAAGACACGGTTTCAGCTGTCGCACTGCTTGTGTCAAGTCACTCTTGAACAAGACACAGCATCAGAAGTGTCTCGCCTGGGCTAAAGACAAAAAGGACAGAAATGCTGCTGGGTGGTCCAAAGTTACGTTCTCTGGTGAAAGTAAATTTTGCATTTCCTTTGGAAATCAAGGTCCCAGAGTCTGGAGGAGGAGAGGAGCAGCACAGGATCCATGTTGCTTGAGGTCCAGTGTAGAGTTTCCACTATCAGTGATGGTTAGGGTGCCATGCCATCTGCTAGCGCTGGTTCGTTGTTTTTTCTGAGGTCCACGGTCAACACAACCGTCTACCAGGAAGTTTTGGAGCACTTAATGCTTCCTGCTGCTGATCAGCTTTATGGAGATGCAGATTTCGTTTTCCTACAGGACTTGGCACTTGCACACAGTGCCAAAGCTTCCAGTCCCTGGTTTGAGGACCATGGTGTCCCTGTTCTTAACCTCACAGAAAAGCTATGGGGTATTGTGGAGAGGAAGATGCAATACACCAGACTCAACTATTCAGAATAGCTGAAGGCCACTATCACGGGCTTTTATAACACCCGAGAGTTCCACATCCTGATGGACTCCATGCCACGCCGCGTTGCTGCAGTAATCCACGCCAAAGGAGCCCCTACATACAGAGTGCTGTACACGCCCATAATTTTCATCTTCGTGCTTTTCAGTTGGCCAACATTTCTACAATCCTTTTTTCTTTGGTCTTATTCTTCTATTTGAGATACAGAATTTGGAATTTTTATTAGTTGTCAGTCATAATCATCAAAGTTAATGAAATAAACATTTGAAATACATCCGTCTGTGTGACGAATGAATGTAATAAACAAGTTTCACTGTGTGCGTGCGTGTGTGTGTGTGTGTGTGTGTGTGTGTGCGTGCAGCGCTCCGGAATCAAACAGCTGGAAGGCGAGGTGTTCAGAGATTTCCTTCCATATCCGGGTCACAAGAAGACCAACATCATCATCACCAACAGGTCGAACAAACACACACACTCACACACATAATGTTGTTTGTGTTGTTGTTTACAGTGTTGTGGCTTGTTGTTCTGTAGGCGTGTTTTCTGTGTGAAGGAGTTGGACTTTGTGGGTCACTTCACCACAGAGTGGGAATGTTTGTACAAGAACTTCTATCGTCCTCCGGAGGTGACTGAATCAGAGCTGAGAATTTACTGCAAGGTACCACACAGCTGTCTGTTTCCCGGTTTCCCCGTCACCCGTCTGTGAGGTCACTTCCTGTTTCTGTCTTGTTTCAGGAGCAACAGAAGCTGAAACTCACCAAAACTCAGGACATGAGGACTCTGTATCTGAAAGACCCAAAGACTGCTCAGGTTGTGTGTGTGTGTGTGTGCGTGTGCGTGTGCGTGTGTGTGTGTGCGCACGTGTGTGTGTGCGCGTGTGTGTGTTAAGGTTAGGGATAGAGCAGCATTGGTTAGGGTATGGGTTAGACATAGTGGAGTCACAAAATGAATGGAAGTCAATGGAGGGTCCTCACTATGATAAAATAACATACGTGTGTGAGTGTTCTCATTTCTCACTTGGCTGCTATGGTTACCAACAGGACTTGCAGGAGGCTATACGTGATGCTCAGGTGGCGCAGCAGCAGCACCGGATGGCCAGACAGAAGTCTCAGCGCTTCTTAAAACTTAGCACAAAGAAGTGATGTCACTTCCTGTCCATTGCTGCTTAGAGGGCAGCTGACTCAAAAGTGTTTGTGTCAGATGTTACTGTACCTGCAACTGATTTAAGATGCAAATCTGCCTGAAGAGGCGGGTCCATCTATCCACATAGTTTCATCAGCCGGTAACGAAGGAATTCTGGGACTGCAGTTTTTGTTTGTTGAATGTTTTCCGTTATTTCCTGTCAGAATATGAAACGAAATACATCCTGCAGCGAAATTAAAACCCATGAACTACTAAAACCTCACGAACCATCCTGAAGCTATAAGATCTATTCAGAAAAATCTAACAATCGTGTTTTATTTGATTGTTTTCTTTTGACGAGTCCTCTGAGTTTGTGGGGTTTTTGTCCCTGTGCTGTGCCTGCAGGCTTTCCTGCCTCGCACCTGAAGATGGAGCCAAAATCATGTTTTTGCACTAGAAGAATATTTACAGGAATGGTTGTTTTTGTTTGTTGGCTGTGGGGCATTTTCTGGAAGAAGAGCACAAATATTAAAAAAACGAATTTAACCACTCATGTAAACCTGTGATGTGAAAATGAATCATAACTGCTGAGTTCAAACACATTCAGATTTATTAACGTTTGATTGAAATTTGCTTTATTTCGCTTTTATATTTTCTGAGATTCTGAACTGTAACCTATAAAGATGAGATTTAATAACGTCTCCTTGTTTGTTTGTTTTTTATATTTGAACCTTCTCAGATGAGTTGTGATGTTTTATCTCCTGAAACCTGTATGAACAAGCCAAACCCCTTTGGACTTGTGCTGTTGTGACCTTTGTGTCTGAGCAGAACCTCCCTGAACCGTCTACAGGTGGTTCAGAAGGCCTGTGCTCGGCTTCTGACCAAGTCCTCCAAACACACCCACATCACCCCGCTTCTCCTCCAGCTTCACTGGCTTCCAGTCAACTTCAGGGTTCATTTCAAGATCCTGGTTCGGGTCTATAGGGCCTTACATGGACAAGCACCATGTTGGGTTATTTTAGCAGCACAGGTGAAAGGTATAACTTTTATTTGTCTCTGCAGAGGGAGAAATGCAAAGACCAAGAACAAACCAACCCAGTGTGGAGTTCGGCAAATCTCAGAGAGCAAGCTCCCTTCGAGCGCCTTTTATTCACTACAGAGCTCGTACGTCAGCACATTCCTTGATTAGTGATAAATGACTATTTATTTAGTCAGTTCCTCTCCCATCTTTGGGTGTCTGGGCATTCATCCAGGAAAGGGAGTCTGGTCATTCAGGAGCATCCTTCAAAAAGGTTCTGACATCGTCATGATAAAAACAGCATGGACTCTGATTGCACTGCAATCATTTACAATCAGAGCCTGTGATCTTGTGACATGACCATTTATATTCTGAGACAATATAGGTGCTTTCTGATAGGGAGTATGTGGTGTTATTACACACAGTAAATGATAAAGTCTTGGTTGACACGGTCACACTTAGCATGCACAAATATCTGTACTAGGCTCACATGTCTTAGTGATTAACAGCCTTGGAAATCACGTATATTGTGTTAAAAATATCATGTCACAGCATAACCGGTTCTGGGTAGCGATAGTAGCAGTGCACCCAAGGTCCATGTATTCTTTACTGGGTCAGGCGGACCTTATCGAAGGATGCTACTTGATGGTCAGCCTCCCGTCTGGGTTGAATGCCCGGAACTCCCAGAGATAGAACTCCCAGAGACAGAAAAGGAACTTCCCGGATAAAGCTGTCATTTATCATTAGTAAAGGAATGTGTTATCAAACTCTGTAACTGAATGAAAGGCGCACGGAGGGAGCAGGCTCTCTGAGATCTGCCGAACTCCACACTGGGCTGGTTCATTCTTGGTTTTTGCATTTCTCCCTCTGCAGAGACAAAATAAAAAGTTATATCTTTCACCTGTGCTTGTGATTCACTCTAGGTAACCTCTGCTGCTAAAATAACCCAACACTTTCCAAGACTATCATCTATTACAGATGACAGGTAAATCTGGTTTTAATAGTGTGCATATTACGTATGTTCATATCATTTATTACATGCGATAACAGAAACTGCATTACCAGATGTTCCCTATCACACCATCTTACATTGGTGATCTTCTTAGTCCCTACACCCCCAGCAGGTCCCTGAGGTCCAGTGATCAAAGCTTACTGGTTGTGCAGCACCAGGCTAAAGACCAAAGGTGACAGATCATCTGCTGCTGTGGCCCCCAGACTCTGGACCTCTCTCCCCCTGAGCCTGAGATCAGTGGACTCAGTGGTCTCCTTTAAAAAGCAGCTGAAGACTCACTTGTTCAAGCTGGCTTTTGTATGACCTTCTTCACCTCTCTCTCTTTATTCTGCTCTCCCCACCCATTCCACCTTCCTCAGGATCCACTGATTTCCCTCTTTCCTTTTCACTCTCTCTCTTTCTTGACATTTTTTCTTTTAAATCGCAATTGCTTATTTTTACTCATTTTAAATATATTTTTAAACATTTTCTAAATGCTTTTTTATATTTTAACATTTTTTTTATTTTTTTGTTTTTGTGAAGCGCCTCGTGATTTTTATCTTGAGAGGCGCTATAGAAATGATATTTTCTTCTTCTTTGACCTTTATCATGCTTTTAGTGTCTGTAGAGTCAAAAGTAGAAGATTAAGTCACTCCTCTCATTTGTTTTCCACACAGCGTGATCTTGAAGATGGCTAAAGAAAAAACAGAGACCACTTTTTTTGGGTTGGGGAGTTTATTTACTAGTCTGGGGTTTCCTTTTTCACAGGTTCGGTGTGATGGGTTCAGGGCTACAAAGTAAAAAATGGACACTTAAGGAAAGGACAGTCACCGCCAGCACGTGTGCTTGTATTTAATCTATAATTATTGGTCCTCTCAAGAAGGATCGGAGTTCTCCGAACTGAGGAGGCTTTCCTAATCTGTAAAAAAGATTTAAGGAGTCGTCTCTGAAGTCACACAGGTGTTCCCAGGTGACTACTAGAAACCTCCAGAAGAAGAAATGAAACAATCTGTTTCTGTAACTCAGTTTTAAAATATTATTCCAAATGATTTTTCCTTTTTGTATTTAAATCATTTCAGATGGTTTCAAAACTACTGAAGCATAAAAGTTATGTAGATAACACTTTACAATAAGGTTCCCATTATTAACATTACTTAGTGCATTATTAAGCATTAATAAACAAAGGATCTAATTATCAATGTTCCCGGTATTGTTAATTACTTAGTAATGCATTACATAATATGATTAAGCAGTTGTTAACACTTAGTTTATTAATGTGTAATATTGCACTAACATTAATAAATAGACCTTTATTGTAAAGTGTTATCCTAGCATAAGTGTAAAAATGCCATTGAGGACGAAAACTTAAGCCAACGCCGCCCCCCCACCCCTCCCACCCCTCCACACACACTTCTGTTACAGAAGGCCATGATGACTAGAAGGTTATAATAAGGGGTGGGGGGGGGTGTCAGCGCTACGGTTACTAAGGACTGGTGGATCCTGATCGAAGCATTTGGCTCCTCTGCACTATAGCTACAGGATTCAGACGCGTGCATACTCGTAAGTGAATGCATTTTATTACGATGAGCAGAACCATGCGTGGATCACACAACCCAGCTGGTAAATGTTTACAATTATTAACTAAAAACAATCAAGTTGACTATCTAGGTGTAATCTACACGGATACATTTCTGTCTTTATCTTTAAGCCATAATGAAATAGGTGTGAAGACGTTTTTAAAATGTAAGCAGTAAACGAGTAAAAAGTCGGCTAATATGTAATTACTGCAGTGAAGTACAGATAAGCAACATTTCTACTAAGTAGAAGTATTTGTACTTAGTTATCTGACACCTCTGTGTTCCTCCTGACAGGCTGCAGCACACCAGTAGGAAGTGAAGCTGAACAGAAAGAGGTATTTTTTTTTTATTTGTTACTTTTGTCATGACTCAGTTGGCCTCCTCAGTCGATGTAGGTCCACTCTAAAGCATGTTGGTTCCACTCTAAAGCACGTTGGTTCGGTTGGATCGAGAATGATGCTGGGCACTCCCGGGCCCAGTGTCCATGCCAGCCACAGGAGTAACACCTCCCTCTTCTCCTTCTGGGACGCGGGTTGTTGGAAGATGGAGCGTTTATCTCCTCCTCCTCCTCACCAGACTGAAGTTTCTTCACTATCGCCAGAGTTTTTGTTTTGGACTCCAGCATGCCTCGCTTCTCCAGTACTTCTAACCTAACAGCAGCTTGGTTGAAGGTGTAGGAGAACCAGTCGATGTACGTCAGCTGGAACAGCTCAGCTACATGATCCTGTAAGCACATCATCAGATTTAAAACGGCGTTGGGAGTGACATCTTCGTCGTGGATGGAATTCATCAATTGCTTGTAACGGGGAAGGAAATCTGTCATCGACTCGTTGGGCTTTTGATGGCAAAGATAAGAAAAGGTTTTGTTTGGGTTGCTCCAGGCTACGGAGACCACAGATGTTTTAAAGGCTCCATCTAGCCACGTTGTCATGGCATCAACACCAGACCAATCAGCATCTGTGTCTGATCCTGGGACATGGAATTTGTCCTCAAACTTCTGCCACTGGGACTCAAACACCAACTGCAACAACTTTCTGACCTGAACAGGACGTGGTTCGTAGACCAGGCAGGCCTGACGCAACCACCTGTAGAGGTCTACGGGTTTGGTGAAAGGATCAGGGGCTTCTCGGACCAGATCCAAGAGCTCTTTAGAGGTCCACAGAGCTCCCATTTCTGGAACATTTATCTTCTCTGTTTGTGTTCCTCTGTCTGTTATCTCCTTTGCTTCAACCTCCTGCTGTTGCTGCATTGTAGCGCCCCCTACCGGGAGCTGGAATTCTAACACAACCACACGGTCCCTCACCTCCTGGAGCGCCCGGTTGTAGTACCTGAGGAGTTCCTCAGCGCTCAGGAGAGGATGCGTGGTAACAGCAGCTATTTCCTGTTTGACCTCCAGCTGCTTTTCATCAAAGATCGCCCTGGAAGAGGAGGCTGGAGGTTCAGGTTTATCTTCTGACACCTGGCAGGTGGGCTCCAGCTCAGATTCATCTTCTGACTCCCATCGAAAAGATGGAGTCTCACTGCTCTCTCTCCTTTGGGTCGAAAATTTAAAATGTTCCTTCTTCTGACCTTTAGAGTGACAGGAGCCCATGGTGACTGGAGGTTTGAGCTGACCACGTTGATCTAGGTTCTCCTAAAAACATCAACACAAACAAAAAGATGCTTGAAATCATCTCAGGTTATCTTTTCCACCAGTTTTTTTTTCATTTGACCATTCAAAAGTTAGAAGTGATCAAAATAGCATTTGTTACCATTTAATACAACTTAGCGAGTAAAAGTTATTTTGATGAAATAATCAATCAAAAGGAATAAAACATATCAAAGTGCTTTTATTTCTTAGAAAACAGAATCTTTCATATTTGTGTTAAAAATGTTGACCCTTCATTGGCCTAACACCCCCTAGTGGCTGATTTCAGTATGGGACTTTCAGACAGATTAGTGGGCGGGGCTTTCAGCTAAATATGCTAAAAGGTCAGGATCTGTTCATCTGTCCCTTTACTGTCCACCTGTCTGGTTCGGTTGAAATTTAAGGCGTTCCACCCAGCATGGAGATCCCTCCAGCGTGTCCTGGGCTGACCCAGGGGCCTCCTGCCAGCAGGACGCGCCTGATACACATGCCTTAGGAGGCGTCCTCACCAGATGCCTGAACCACCTCAGCTGGCTCTTCTGGACATGGAAGAGCAGCTTCTCTACTTTGAGCTCCTCCCCCCCATCTCAAAGGCTGAGTCCGGCTGCCAGAAGAAGAAAACTGATTTCCGCTGCTATATTTACAGTCTTGTTCTTTCGGTCTGTTGGGTTACTTTAAAGACAGGTGACCTTAGAAAGAATCACAAGCACAGGGATGAGAAATAATATTGTTTCTTTTTCTCTGCAGAGGGAGAAGTGTGAAGCAGCAAAAACGTACTGACCCAAAGCCGGAGTTCACAAGTCTCAAAGGAGCTGAGCTCCTTTCAGCTTCTTTTACTCAGTAATAATGCACCCATCAGCACATCCCTGATTACCATGTAAGGAGAATACAACTGCAACAACAATATGGAGACTCTGAACTGTGTGAATGGTCTAGCTATGTGGAATGAATTTAACTTAGCCGTACTTGTTATTCTAAAGCAGGTGTAAGGACCTTGTCGTCAAAACATGATAAACACAGTCTAGCAAATAAACATAACATCCACTCAGTGAGTTAGATTAATGAAGCATTTCATTTCATTATACTATTTTACCACAAGTAATAATAAGCAAATGTTTATTTATTGATTAAATAGATCAAAAGTCATAGACGAAGTCATTAATGATTTATTATAATAACTCTTGCGAAACATGTCTGAACATGTCCGACGTGTTGGTTGAAGAAGAATAGAACCGGAGATAAAACAAGTTCTGGTTCGGAGCAAGAGTTTATAAAGAAGTTAGCGAGATCCAGCATTTATTTTGGTAACCAACTTCTGCTTATTGGCAAGCAAATTTGCATATTAGCTAAATGTTTAAGTACCAGCTAAATATTTATTTTCCACGATGTTATTTAGCTCCACACTATATTTTACATTTTTGGGTCAGACTTAAATATTTATTTCCCAAATACTGATTTTTCAAACTAAATGTTTAGCTCCAAAATAAATATTTAGCTGGGATCTAAATATTTATTTCGGAAAATAAATATTTAATTTACAAATTAAATATTTAGTTCCAAAATAAATATTTAATTAGTAAATTAAATATTTAGTGAATTAAATAATTATTTTACAATCTAAATATTTAGATCAGACCTAAATATTTAGTTTGCAAAATAAATATTTAACTACAAATTAAATATTTAGCTTGCTAACTAAATATTTATTTGGAAACTTTAACATTTATAAATGTATGAATAACATGATTAAAATATGACTTCGAAAAAGTGAACTCCCAATTTTTTCTCTTATGATATGCTAAATAACCAAAAATATTGCTGTTTGACTTTACAAATGACACCCCATAGATATCAGCTCCGGTGTGATTATCTATGACCGAATCACACCAGTGCTGATATTCAGCAACAACGCACTCCCTCTCGTGTGCTATTGCTTAATTGGAGTTGACCAAAATTGACTAAAACTACAAAGAATTTTTATCCAATAAAAGATGGCTGCCAAAACAACGCAGACTCACATTTATCTAGTAAAGTCTGGTACCAGAGCCTTTCATGGCTCACAGATAAACACACAAACACGTTTTTATGACCCGTGATGAGAAATAAACTCACCAGCAGACTTTTGTGTTCCAGCAGCTGTTGGTGGAGAAAAGTTTCAGGAAGTCGGTTGATATGGAAAAAAACAACCCGAAAAACCACTTGCAAAGAGAAGCCAACACGGATGTAACAAAAGTTATACTATTTGGAAAAAACTGCTTGAAAAAAGCATTCTTTCTTTTTAGTTCTGATGCAGAGAGCTGGTGAAACCGTGGGTGGCGAGGACCAGAGTCAGACCTGTAGATAAAAACCAGCTGGAACCAGTTTTCTGTCTGAGAAAAATAGAAGAGCTGCAGAAACCTCCACTTCCCCACAGATTGTGTGTGTGTGTGTGTGTGTGTGTGTGTGTGTGTGTGTGTGTGTGTGTGTGTGTGTGTGTGTGTGTGTGTGTGTGTGTGTGTGTGTGTGTGTGTGTGTGTGTGTGTGTGTGTGTGTGTGTGTGTGTGTGTGTGTGTGTGTGTGTGTGTGTGAAATAGAAAAGCTGCAGATACCTTAACTCCCCCACAGATCACGTGTGTGTGTGTGCATGCGCGCACGTGCGTGTGTGTGCATGTGAAATAGAAAAGCTGCAGATACCTTAACTCCCCCACAGATCACGTGTGTGTGTGTGCATGCGCGCACGTGCGTGTGTGTGCATGTGAAATAGAAAAGCTGCAGAAGCCTTCACTCTCCCACAGATCGTGTGTGTGTGTGTGTGTGTGTGTGTGTGTGTGTGTGTGTGTGTGTGTGTGTGTGTGTGTGTGTGTGTGATTGTTTTAGTATATTTATGTTCTTACATAAATTTTAACTCAGATTTTTTTCTTAGTTGTTTTTATTGTTTAGCACTGTTATGTATGAATTGCTGCATAAATAAAAGTGGACTGGATCACATTGAACACCAGATTTATTCCCGCAGCAGAACTTCCTGTAATCTTTCTCAGGTTCCTTATAACCTTAAACAAAATGAAAATGATCAGGAACCAGCCAGTGGATCTAGAGAAGGTTTAGGCATGGACGTAATTTTGGGTGGGGGACAGGGGGGTCATGTCCCCTCCACTTTTTCCGAAGTCAAGTTTTGACCCCTGCACTTTTTACCATCCAAAAACAATATTACGCTATATTAAATTGACACTGGTTGAGCTCTAGGACCAAGCAGAAAACAACCGTTTGTGTTGAAGCCTGCTTCCCGTTAGAACATACTGTAAAGATGACCCCCCCCCCCCCCCCCCCGTGTCTCCCCACCCCCACTTCTAAAGTGAAAATTACGTCCATGGGTGTAGGTGATGTACAGCTCAGACTCGTGATGATGTGTGAGCTTGTTTTATCATATAAATATTAGTGTTCCCGGAGAAGACAGGCTCGCCTGACTGAGGTGGAGAATTTCCAGGTCTGCAGTAATAAAGTATTCCTGAGGGAATTGAAGCTCCTTCTGGTGTGGGCATCTGTTGTTTCCAACAGAAACCATCAATGATGAATCACAGAACAGTGTTTCACAGAGATCCCATCAGATGGAATCTGTCCTGACCCAACGCTGACCTATCGGGCTGGAATCAGTCTTGTTTTTGTCAGCTAGCTCCAAGGACAGAGGTCTCTCCTCCCAGGCATGAGGAGTGTTCTAGCACGGCTCTTCTTGAGAAAACTCTGCATCTTATCCACTTTTTAAGGATAAAGTTGCTCAGTCACCTCTCCATCTCTGATTTCCTGTCGGGCTTAGAATCCAACATGGACCAACACCAGAAGATCCCTGAGGACTATCTGGTCCAAGCTTTGGCCTCCAGACTCTGGAGGTCTGTGGACTTGGTCTCTTAAAAAAAATAAAAAATAAAAAATAACTTAAAAACAATTATCTCATTTGACTGGGTTTAGTTTAGTTCTTTTTTCACTATTGTTGTTAGGTTTATTTTTTTGTTTGTTTGTTATAGAGCACTGTGATACTGACTTCACTTTACTTTACTTTATTTTGCTTTCTTTGATTTTATTTTACTTTCCTTTCCAAGACTTAACTTAGCTTAGCTTAACTTAACTTAACTTAACTCAACTTTACTTTACTTTAGTTTATTTGATTTTATTTTACTTTCCTTTCCAAGACTTAACTTTACTTTACTTTCCTTTACTTCCCTTTTACTGTTAAGATAATTATACGTGTTTTCTTTTATCATGCTTTATGCTTTTATTACATTTAAAGATTTTACCATTCATGCTGAACGGTTGCTGTATTGCTTGAAGTCTCATGAGGAGACTTTAAGAATGCTGAGCCTTGGTCCTGACCTAATGCGGCTCAAGGACATCTGCTGACTTGGACAACTGCTGACTCGTGCAACAATCTGTTGCACATCGTGTGATTAGACACCGATTAGAAAAACTGAATGCTCTTTGTGTGAAACTTGTAACAATTACTAAAAACTGAGAGCTGTGATTTCCCCCATCCTTCAGTGTCAGCTCTCAGGCATGTACCTAGGGACCCGCCCAGCTTGTAATAAAAGGACACGCTCGGATTTCAAAGGCAGAGTGGTTTTGGAGGATCTGCCGGTACAGTGGAGACTGTGCTGGTCGGACCTTAATTCCATTCTCCTCGAGCATAAAACAGAATTCTGACTTTTGTGTCTCTTTTCCTCTATTGTTTATGACGTCTTAAACCTGACATTTACAAAGCCCCTTTCACAACCTCATCGGACACCCATGGTGCTGTACACAAAGTCAGAAACACGATATTTATCTTAACAGCTCAGAATTTACCAAAATAGGTGTTGGGTTATTTTAGCAGCACAGGTTACCTAGAGTGAATCACAAGCACAGGTGAAAGATGAAACTTTCATTTGTCTCTGCAGAGGGAGAAATGCGAAGACTGAAAATATATGTATAAGCTCATATATGCTTTTTCTACATTATGGAATCCTGTTCATAATAATCAGTGCTTTTCTGCACAAGCTCTAAACAGCTGCGTACCTCAAAAAAGGGAGTGAGACATTCCATCTCCTCTCCACCTTATCTCAGTACCAGCGTGTTCCTGCTATCAAGGATGTTCCAGGATGTTCCTGATTATTTTAGAATTACATATCTCTGTGATGTATTAGTTCCTGCCTAACAAGGCAATTAGCTCCTGCTTATCAAGGCAAACGACGTGCAAATGCAGGTGCAGATGTAATACGTATGATCACATTCCTTGTTTTCCTAATAAATATAGCTGTGTTAGGGTCTTAGGGTCTCTAATGACCTTCTGACTCACAGTGATGCAGGGGACTGTTCTGTTCTGGTCCTGCTGGACCTGACTGCAGCCTTTGACACTGTTGACCATCACCTGCTACTGGAGAGGCTGAGGGACTGGGTAGGCCTATCAGGATCTGCTCTGGAGTGTTTCTCCTCTTATCTCTCTGAGTGCTCCTTTTCTGTGGCCGTCTCCAAGTTTAGGTCCTCCACCACCTCTCTTACCCATGGTGTCCCACAAGGTTCTGTGCTGGGGCCTCTGCTCTTCCTCCTCTATCTGCTTCCTCTTCAGTACATCCTGAGCTCCTTCAAAGGAATCTCCTACCATCTTTATGCAGATGACATCCAACTGTGCATCTCCTTTAAGCCCCATGAGAGGTCTAAGCTGCAGCTGCTACACACCTGCTTAGACTCTATCAAAACCTGGATGGATGGGAGCTTTCTACAGCTGAATGAAGATAAGACTGAGATCCTCATCTGTGCCCCAGACAAGCTGGTTCCCAAAGTCAGAGACTCTCTTGGTCAGCTTGCTTCTCACACCAAACCTTCTGTCAGGAATATTGGCGTGACCTTTGACCCAGCTCTCACCCTGGATTCTCATGTAAGTTCTCTTGTTCGCTCTTCCTTCTTCCATCTCAGGAACATTGCTAAGCTGAGTCCCATTCTGTCTCACTCTGAACTTGAGACAGTTCTCCACACCTTCATCTCCTCACGCTTAGACTACTGTAACTCTCTTTTCACGTGTCTGAGCAGAACCTCCCTGAACCGTCTACAGGTGGTTCAGAACGCCTGTGCTCGGCTTCTGACCAAGTCCTCCAAACACACCCACATCACCCCGCTTCTCCTCCAGCTTCACTGGCTGCCAGTCAACTTCAGTGTTCATTTCAAGATCCTGGTTCTGGTCTATAGGGCCTTACATGGACAAACATGATCTTCTTAGTCCCTACACCCCCAGCAGGTCCCTGAGGTCCAGTGATCAAAGCCTACTGGTTGTGCAGCACACCAGGCTAAAGACCAAAGGTGACAGATCATTTGCTGCTGTGGCCCCCAGACTCTGGACCTCTCTCCCCCTGAGCCTGAGATCAGTGGACTCAGTGGTCTCCTTTAAAAAGCAGCTGAAGACTCACTTGTTCAAGCTGGCTTTTGTATGACCTTCTTCACCTCTCTCTCTTTATTCTGCTCTCCCCACCTATTCCACCTTCCTCAGGATCCACTGATTTCCCTCTTTCCTGTTCACTCTCTTTCTTTCTTAACATTTTTTTAATCACAGTTGCCTATCTTTGCTCATTTTAAATATATTTTTAAACATTTTCTAAATGCTTTTTTATATTTTAACATTTTTTTTTGTTTTTGTGAAGCGCCTCGTGATTTTTATCTTGAGAGGTGCTATAGAAATGATACTTTCTTCTTCTTCTTCTTCTTCTTCTTCTTCTTTGTTTAACACCAGATGGCGCTACATAACAGCTCATTTCTCATTCCTTCTCAATTCATGTAGTGTAAATCATTGTAGTTAAGAACATAAAACCCAGAATTTCGGTGCTGCTGTCAGTCGTGGTTTTTGGATCTGTTGAACTTGACTTTTCTGAGAGCTGCTGATGACCGTTCAAACGTTCTGAGATGTAAATGTAAAGACGTGAAAGAGGAAAAATGAAAGATGGCAAAACGAGCTGTCTGTGGTAAACAAGACTTTATTTAGTTTTAACATTTATTAAAGAGCCGATGAGAGAAACTGAGATGTTCTGATGAAGGTTTGGGACGAGCAGTGGAAAAATTTTAAACCTATAAGTCTTCACATTTTATTATTCATATTTATTTAGTGACCTGGTTATAGCAGCTACACCTCTGCTCACATTACAATAAATAAATAAAACTAAAAGAAAATATCTCAGTAATGCATTCATTTAAAACAAATATTTTATCAAATAAATGAAAATGTTTTAGCCTTTTTCAGACTAACAGGGTCGGTCTACATGAGGAGTTTCATCCAGATCCCTGGTTAGCTTCATAAAAACGTTCATCTGTCACCCAAATCTGTTTGAGTTCTAAAACATTTATACGTTTTTACTGTTCAGAGAGTTTTATATTTGAGGGATTCTCACTTTTTTTTTGCAGGATTCAAAAACTCAACAACAAGAAAGGAGACCTGTGGAAGTGGATCCTGGAC